AACTTTGGCAATTAAATTATCAAATATTAATACCAAAGTATTATATTCAACTATTTCAAGACATCTGGCAAAAATGGGTTATAAAAATGATTTATCTTTAAAGACACCTATGCTTTCTACTGCTCATAAAGAGGCTCGTGTAACTTGGACAAGAAAACATCTTAAGAACAATTGAGAAAAAATCTTATTTTCTGATGAAATAGCATTTCAACTATTCAGAAATACAATTACTCAGTGGTACAAAGGTACAAGACCAATTAGAAGAATATCTAAAGATCATATAAAAATTTTTGTATAGGGAGGATTTTGTTCAAAAGGAAAAACTTTTTTTTTTTGTTTTAAAGAAATTATGGATGCAAAACTTTATATTAATATTTTGTAAAAACATAAACAAGAAATTGAAGAATTGCTTGAAAACAATTAGTGTTTTCAACAGGATAATGATTCCAAACATATTAATAAAATTACTAAAAAAATTTTAAATGAAAATTTTCCTGAAATTATAGATTGGCCTTCTAATAGTCCAGATTTAAATTCTATTGAAAACCTTTGGTCTATTGTTAAAAGAAATATAGAAATGAGATTACCTCAAAATTTTTTAGAATTAGAACAATTTATGATAGAAGAATGGAAAAAAATTCCAAATAAGATTATAATTAATCTTATAGATTCAATAAAAGAGAGATGTGAATTAATAATTGAAAATAATAGTGAAGGAATTAATTATTAACTATATATCAATAAAATCTCTAAATTTTAGGCTTCATTTTGATATATTTTTTATTAATTTTTATGCAATAGTTTTTGAGTAATGAATAAATAAAAAATCTCAAAAAAATTTGCAACACACTGTATATTAAATTGATTGAATAGAATTGAATCAAATAGAATTGAATCAAATAGAATTGAATTGAATTGAATCGAATTGAATCGTTTAAATTCGATTCTAAATAGAATTGTTTGAATCCTTATTTGGGCTATATAACTACAAGAAAAAATCAAAATTTACCTAATTAAATTAATATCGGAAGGGTTTTAAACTAGTCAGTAGAGAAGTTAAAGTAAGAAAAATGTTCAAATTAGAAATATAACTCATGAATTAAAAACCTATCTTATTGTAAATTGAAGTGCCAAACCAGAAGGGTGGGCTTGTTAGAAAACCCAAAACAATAGTTAATAATAATAAGTTAATATAGAAATAAAGTTTGATATAGTTTAACAATATATAGAATAATTTATAGGTAGTAACTTCTTGTAACACATTGTTATAAATCAGGGATCTATTAGTAGTAATGGAAAATTATAGACTTTGCAACACTTCAACAGGAATATCTATTATAACAAGAAACTAAGAGATAGAAAAAGATATATATTTGACAAGTTTGTATAATTTGAAAGATTTTATTAATCAAAACAATATAATAAGTATATTAATTTTTAACTAGTAAATATTCTTTTATTAACTAATTTTTTCATTTCTCCTTTTTATTTTATTTCTTATATTATTTTTATACTTTTTTTATAGAAAAAAAAATAACAAAAATAAAAGAAATAAAAGAAATAATAAAAATAATGAAAATAAAAGAAATAATGAAAATAAAAAAAATAATAAGATTAAAGTATAAACAATTTTGATTTTTTGGATTAAAAAGAAGTTCTTCAAGCAGAAAATAAAGTTATTTAAAAAGATTTGTATATCAAAAAAAAGAAAAATGCGAAAAACTCCAAGGAAAATTTATAAAAAAGTAACTGTTACAGGCCTTTACTTATACAATCTAAGAATAAAGCAATATTTTTAAACTTGTTTTCCTTTGATCAAAGATTTCAGCCCAATATAACAATATATTTCTTTGATTTTCTTGAGGCTCTTATAGTAAAAAAAAAGGTGTAAAAATTTTTTTAAATATTGAAAAGAAAAAAAAATATTTGTTTTTTTAATTTTAAAGGAAAATTATTATTAAAAAATTTTTTAAGAAAAAAGTTGTATATAGGAAAAAGTTTTTTAAAAAGATATAAAACTTATTGAAGCATATTTAAAATATTTCACAATAAAAAAATATCTGGCTATAACTTTCTCAAGACTATAAATATTTCACAAATATAAAGTTAATAGTGAGAATATAATAAACATCAAGCAATTCAATTCAGATATTTGATATTTTTTCTTGAAATTATTTGAGTGACTCAAGTTCACTAAAATTTCTTGGCAAAGTGATCAAAGATGGATTAATATTTTTTTCATAATAGTTTTCAAGAAAATAGATAATAATGATAAAACCCTTAAACAGTGCATAAATGAAATAATATCATGGTTAATAAATATAAAATCAATAATAGAGGCTAACAAAGCAACGCATTATATGAATTTATTTCATTTGTATCACGTGTATCAATATCAATTGCGAAAAGAATGACTAATAAAGAAATCCAAATAGAATTGCAGAGAAATATTTCAGGTCAAGAAGCATCTGGAAGAGTTGATTACACTATAATTAGAATAGAGGATCTTTGTGTATTACTGATGGAAAACTACAAAATGTTAAGATTTATTACCTTCAAAATATAAAACAACTCGAAAGTTCCTTCCATATGAACAAGAAGAAGTGAATTGCAGATGAAGCATTTAATATTAAGGATTACGATTATCTATATGGAATTGTATCCACGGTATGTGAAAAATTTCCATGATTTTACTGATCTTTCCTATATTTAATCCAGAAGGTTGATCATGTGATTTTTTCTGATACGATATTTATTTAGCCATGGATTGGCATTTCATTATGTTTACATCGGATAGGATTTTTTGTACAAGTAATAGTGAATGAATATCAAATCAATCTCATAAAGACAGCATTTAAGATAAATCATGATCTTTTAAGGGATAGTGTAAAATGGGGGATTAGTATAATCGTGGAGTTATTAAAAGATAGGATTTCTGCTTGGGATAAATCTGAATCCAAGAAGTGTTGCGTACAAGAAAAAATTACCAAGCTGATAGATAGTTTACCTGCTTTCATGTATACTGTATCAATAAAACAGTTAGACCTAAATGGTCTTTTTTTTGATAATTAATTTTGTGTACAATAATAAATATTTTTTCATTTGAAATCATCACTAAGATTTATTCAAGACCATCGTCCAGGAATATAAATTCTGTTAATGGATACAGTCTAAGATATTGACCAAAGTGGGTATAAAAACAGATAGGAATCTTGTTACTCGATTATATTCTTAATCATTATGTCTCTCTCCAGTCTTAAAACCCTTGCATATAACATTATAAAGGAAATGTGTGGAAGTATTGATCAAAATATTAATGATACAGAACTGCCATAATGCTCAATATATAACAAGAAAATTTAACACTTACATATGAATCGATTGATGATACAGAACTGCCATAATGCTCAATATGTAACAAGAAAATTTTAATACTTGCATATGAATCATTTACTGTTTTCGGTGGTTGTGGGTACATATTTTATAGAATGTGTATTGGGAAAAAAATTCTACTTACCATACCAAATACATATCCCTTTCCTAAGTATGGAAAAAATGTCGAGCTTATTGATGAAGCCTAACAACAAGACTCTGTATCTTCTGAAATAAGTGGTACTTCGAATCTGGATAATGAATTTACCTATAATGTTGGATTTAATTCTCAAAAAACTTCATCCCAGAATCAAGATGTGAATATTGGTGATAGAGATGAGGATGTGAAAGAAGAGAAGGAAAAGGAATCTCAAGTTGAAACCCAATCCGATTCGACAGGTAAAAAGTGGACCAATGAAGCTACAGATGTACTAACTGAAAATTCCCCCAACAAAAAGTTAAGAAAGTGATTAAAAATGAAGACTCGATCATATTAAAAAGGCTTATTCAGAATTATCTTCTGATACCACTTGAATTTCTGAAATTGAAAAAAAAAAAGGTTTTCATAAAGAATCTGTACGGGAAGTAGAGAGTTCCCAAGTTTTTTTCTATCTATATTTAAAAATACCCAAGGCTGAGGAGCATAGTGATAATGCATGTTATGGAGTTTTAAGAGCATATTACTTTTTTGAAGAGAAACCGGAAAAACGCCTTTCCGATTATAAACAATTCATGGAAGAACGTGAGGCTCAGAAGAAGGTCAATGATGAGGTTCGAGATCAGCTCCCAAAGGAAGTTTCCAAGAATGCACTCAGAAAGAAAACAGAAAGAGCCAGAAAAATCCATGATCTTTTTTTTCGTATTGATGAAGACAAAGTTCAAATGATGACATACAGTATATCCAACGAATAAAAATGTTTACTGCATCATCGATTTCAAATATAAGTTCGGAAAATATCAAATATCTAGCATTACAGGTTAGGAAAAATACTAAATGTAGCGATCACGTAATTATGATGTAACTCGACCGTGACTGAGCAGGCACTTTTTTTTGAACTACTGCATCATATATTTATGACTGATCGCATTATCAATCTTATTTTTCTCCGTCTAAATATATCTACAATACAATAAATATGGCAACTCTATGGAATGATACCGATACGGATTCTATTATTCCATGGAGAAGTATGACTCAGGAGACTGTCACCACCTCTTTTACTTCTATTTCTAGTATCGAGGAGACTGATGAAATAAAAAAATATCGTTATTTTTGGTGGAAAACTGGCAACCTGCATCCGAAGGCCAGGTGGGAGAAAGCTATGTAAGTCTCTTTCAAATTTGCTTTGATGAATGGATATTTTTGTAAACCAGTGTCTGATATCAACTGATATTTATTTTCAAGCTTGCCATACGTGCTAAAAACTGATGTCACCTTAGACGAATATATTAAACGAACAGATATGCATAATGTGCACGCTCTATGGGAATGGGAACATGGAACTGTTCGGGTTATTGAACTTCCTTCGTCATATCACGAGGATTGCATTGCTAAAATTATAATCAAGTTGGGTACAATATTTGACGTCGTGGCGGACACTTCTGCAGACATTAAATTTTCTTTAGCGACGAGTGAGTGTTTTATTGGTTTTATTCATGCTATTGTATCATAAGTATATTTACATTACTCACTGTCTTTGACTAAAAGCAACAAAAACACGTGGAGGAAGCAAGGAGCCAGATGGATCTCTTCGACCTTTAGGAAAACCTCAAGTTTCTGGAGGTGGATCTGATGGAAGGGTATGAAGAGTTTTTGACCCTGTTCATGTAATTGTGTTAAATTTCTAATGTTTGTGATGTACTTTTAGAATAAACCCTGGCCCAATCTTGTAATAGAGGTTGCTTACTCTGAAACCGAGGCACATCTCAAGGATAAAATAGAGAATTACTGGCTCCTTCCTAATAGAGTTCATGATGCAATTGCTATTAAGCTCAACTACACACCAGATGATACAGTTCCAACGGAGATGACAGTAAGTAATGACAACAGGCATTAATTCTGCGCAGTTGTCTTGATATAATTTTTATTCTTTAATAGGCTTGGCATTATTGCATAAATAATCGAACAGCTGTCGGGGCATTAAACCCTGTAATGGTATGTTATATTATTTTATTACATGATTTTTTTAGTACAGAATGAGTTTAATGTATTTTCTATTTAGTATGAATTTGGAACGATTAACCGTCAAAGAAATCCAATCAATATTCTATCTGGGCAATGCGTTATGAATATTCAGCTGGGATGCATTTACCATGGAATGCCAAACAACTTCGTAATTCCCACGCCTCCTCTACCTAACCCTATTACCCTCGATCTCTTTTCTGTTCGGTCGGCTATTACAAAACCCTAATTAAGTGTACGACTTCTCTTATATCAGAATTTAATCTAGTCTTGTTTCGATATACGTAATGGCATAATCTACATTTAATACAATTTTCACCGATTTTACCTTTTACAACAATGCGTCCCGCAATGCATGAAATACACGGCTTTGCAGATAGATAGTCTTATTGAATGAGGATACGAAGTGTTTATGTTATTATCTCGTAGTTATATAAATATTTCATTACGGACTGTATCAAAATAATAGATTTTCGTGTCAATATATCATTGCTTAGTAAAGATTTCCCTATATAATTATACGAATCAATGCTCAATCACGGGTTGTATCGCGGTTGATTAAAAATGCGATGCGAGTTATGTATTTTATCGGGTACTGGAAGCTGATAATGTATTTATGTATAGTCGTGAATATTTTTTTTCTTGGCAAAAGTGATCGGCGTGAAGAATTCTTCACGCGCACGCAAATTTATCAAACTATTAAACATATCCATATCTTATGTAAAACAATGGAAAATCCACAATCCATAATCGATTCATTGAGAGAATTAAATTCTGATCTCGTTCGCCAGATTGCTGAACTTAGGAAGGAGAATGCCTATATAAAGGCCAAAAATATAAAATTAAAACAAGATAAGGAAGAAATTGAGATCAGATTTGTAAAGTTAGAACAGACCACAAAAGAAAATGCCGAGAATGCAAATTTGAGAGATGGTGAGCTCAATGACAGAATCGTGGAACTAGAACAGTCGGCGAAAGAAAGTGAAAATCGATTTGCAAAATTGGAACAGAAGCAAACCCAGGTTATCACTAATGAACAGGAAGTATCCCCCGTAAAAAATATTTCACCACCTATCGAAGATCAGTCCAATAAAGATTATAGTATTACTCTCGATTCCATGTCCGAACATAACTCAACCCAGACCCAAAGGAGCGAATCTAAATCTCTAACTGATCCTGAGTCGTCTATCACTTCTTTGCCACAAGATATTATTGATGCCGATTCAGCCGAGACTTTAGATTTTGTAGAAAGGAAATATAAAGAATATGTCAGTGAAGAGGTAATGGAGAGAATTAAGAAAAAGAAACTTTGGAATCAAAACTTATCTTTAAATAATAGTTCATCGGATCAATCTAATTTATCATACAATATATTGCGAGAACAGAAAAATCTCAGAGTACATTTTCTGACTCACTTCAAAATCTCATCTCACGAAGTAAGGATGGCCTTATGTTTAAATTAGATCAATCAAAGATAAAGTTTCCATGTCCTGAGCCCAAATTATCTACTGATCAAGCACAAAATGACATCCCTGAAGTAAGTGATATCCCATCCCAAATAGCAGAAGCTAGTACAGTGCTGGCCATAAATAATAGGAATTTTAATTTTCTAATTTTAAAGATTTTTTGCACCATGATTATCAATCTGTATCACTATAATTTTTTTTTTTTTAGCTTACGTCTTTTCATTTATTAAAAAAAATTTTTTTTGTGTATTGCATATTTCTATAACAGTAAGATTGTCATTAGAAATGGAGGATAATTCTCTTGCTTATCAAAGAAGCATCATCCAAGTGTTGTAGTATACCAATGAACAAAACCCTACCTCTAATAAAAAAAACTAATTTTCTAAAATGACTTTATATAACTATGTAAAAAATTTAAAAAAATATAATAATTTAAACCCCTTACCTCATCCAGGATGGCCTTCTAAGTTGTCTCCCAAGAAACTCAATAATCTTAATAAACTTATTCAAAAGAATCAAGAAATTTCTGCTAAAGAACTTGCATCTAAATTGAATGCTAATAATCCAGACCTAAAAATATCAATAAGAACTATTAACAGGGTGCTTGCAAATCATAAGTGGATAGTTACAATCCCTAAACAAGTCTCTCTTTTTATTGAAAAACATAAAAATAATTGCTTAGAATGGGCCAAAGCTTATGTTAATCAAAAATGAAGCCAAGTCATTTTTTTTTTGATAAATCTACCTTCTAGATATTTATAATATGATCCAAGTTCATTACATGACTGATACAAAATGGTCACAACATTCTATAGTTAAACACCTGTACAAGGTTCACATGTAAGCTGCATTTTCAATAAGAGGTACTGTTGGTTTTCATGTGTTTACTCAAAATATGAAGTTATATCATCAAATTCTTATAAGTAATCTTGCTTACATATAGACTGTAATGAATTATGATTGGATCCTCTAACAGGATAATGATTCTAAACACATAGCAAAGGCAACAAAACAATTTCTAATTAATTCTCATATAAAGATTTTAGACTGGTTATCAAACTTGTCAGATCTTAACTCTATCAAAAATCTGTGAATGATTTAAAAAAAAAAATAAAAAAAAGATTAATAAGAAGATATGAGAAAAAAAATCTATTACATCTATCAAGTTTAAAGAATTAATTAGATCAGAATGGGCAGGTCTTGAAAAAAGCATGCTAATTAAATTAGTAAAAAGTATGCCTTATTATTTGGAAGAGTTGATGACCAAAAATGGATATAAAATAAATTACTAAAAAAAATATATTAGTTAATACATTAGTTTAGTTATTTTATTTATTTTTTTTATATAATAAATATTTTTTTTAAATAAATAAAAATAAATTTACAATTCCTATTATTTATTATTACCACTATATATTAGTGGTAAAAATTTACTATAATAAGAAAGTAAAACAAGATTTATTATATAAGCTATTTGAATTTATTGGGGACACTTATTTTATGTCCTTACAAAATCTAAAGAAAACTCTATTGAATTCTATTTTCATTAAACGAATTTTGAACATTCCTATTAATATAGATATACACCGGATTCTGTACCTCATTTGGTTTATGTATATGCATTGTGGTTGTTTGATCTATATTCCTTTTTTGGAAGACAAGAGATGTGATGAACAGAAGATCATTTTCAGGAGTAAGCTGGTTGGGGTTTTTTGTAATTCCTTGGGAAAGTGAGAGAAATTATTGTAGGCAGTTGTAAAGTTCTGTGTTGAGTTTTGTTTTTTCCATTTTTTCCACTATGTTACTGATATGTTGAAAGTTAAGGGAGATGTTTCTGTTGTTAGAAAGTGAAATTCTAGTTTGAAGGAGTCTTCCTTGATCCTTTTTTCTGCCAATTTCTGTTGTAAAGTTAAGGATGCGGATGTCATTTGTAGAGCCTGAAGTAACGATTTCTTCAATGTCTTTTCCTTTCCTTACGATAAGGAATTGGTTAGGGAAGTTTGTTAGGTTGGTAATAAGATGGGAATGTGTGGGTTCTGTTCTGATAATTTTGTTATTGATAAGGTTAAGATAATAAATTTGAAAGAGTTGATTCTCATTCTGATGAATAGTCATATGTAGAAACTGTTTTTTGTTGCTATTTGTTGGTGATTACTCTATAGTATGAGTTATTTAATGGTTGGGAGCACTTGGAAGTGCTTGGAGGTAAATGGTTTCTTGAAGAGTTATTGCCAAATAAGGAAATTTTCAGTTAAAAATTGATTTGTGGGAAAGAGTTTTTTTTCTAATACTATTGTTGTTATATAACAAATTCTGCATATATTATTAGTTATATATATTTGAATTATAGTTAAATACTTGTTAAATATCTTTTATAGTCTATTTATTATTTAGTAGCACAGTAAAATTTTGTTTCTTATATATTATTATTATATAACAAATTAGATTTTGCCCATGAAGAATATTTATAACTAATGGATATTATATAAATAAAGTAATAACAAAAGTATTAAAAAAAATTAATTTAATACATTTTATAAATTGAGAAGAAGAATACTACTCTTACTGTATTCAAACACTTATACAACTAATATATTTGAAGAAAGACTTGTATAATCTTTTGTATATTCAAAATATTTTACAAATATATTTTTTTACAATTTTGGATATTATAGTCTTTATAAAGATTTCTTAAAAAAAAGATTACATAAATTTTTTTTTCACTTTAAATCATCTTTAGTATAAGATTTTAAAAAAACAATTAAATATTTGTCTTTTTAAATTTAATAGTAAAAAAAAAACAAATAAGATCTTTTACATATTAAATATAGGCCAAGTAATAACTATACTTATCTACTTAAAAAAATGTTTAAGGTATAAAGAAAATTTAAGAAAAAAATCAGAGAAAAAAAAAATAAAAGTAATTAAAACTAAAAAAAAATCAGATAAACTATAAAATCTATAAGAAAAAAATTATATTTTTAAAAGAATCCCTAGCTAGACTTATTGTCCTGTTTCTCTAGTTCTTTGCTATTTGTAAATATAACCTTTGTTAATACAGATGATAAAATACATGTGATTTGGTTTGTTATTATAGTTGTAATTATTGTTATATTGATATAATTAATGGTTGATAAAATAATTGATTTATGAATTGGTAATATAATTTTGTTTTAACTATAGTTGTTAAAACTAATTTTGTTTATATTGCCTATTGTATAGTATTTTGGTTATACAGATTTGTTTTGATATTTGATAGTATTTGATTGGTTGAGTTTGAAATAGTAATTAATTAAAGGGAGTAAACTAATTATGGTTTTTGGTAAGAAATTTTTTGAGTAAAAATTTTGTAATACAGTATATTATAATAAGTAATAATGAAAAGTGAGTATTGTATATATTGTTAATATTCCCAAGTTAGCAATATAAACAATATTGATATATAGTATTGTTTTTTGAGTTAAAGAACAGCTATATAATATGGTTTTTTGAATTAAAGAACAGCTCTCCAAGAACAAAAAATATTTATTTATTTATTTATTTATTCCCTCAATCAGATTGATATTGTTTATTTCTTAAATCAAAATGAACCATTATAAATATAAATTGCATGTATAAATTTCTCCAACCCAGCTCATTCGTCTGTGATAAAGAGTCTCTAGATGTGATTTATGGGGATAATACATTGCTCATTTATTAGTTGAAATTAAGATCCTGTTTGTTTAATGGAGTCAAAACCTGCAGATCATCTCTACAGATCATATGCCATAAATCCAAATTGAGTTTTTATTTAAGCGCTAACTATTTTTTCTCACTTTCTATAAACTCCTGTATTAGTTCCTAACTTTGTTTAGTTTGTTTATATAGACTTCCGTCTTGTATCTTGTCTTTTCTCCTCTTTTCTTTCTTTTGTTGTTCTGATTATTTGAAGACTGGATACTGATAGCACTATTGATTTCTGTAAGCCTGAAGATATGGTTTTTTGAGCTGAAGTCCATATTTGAACTAAGTTCCATCAGTGACAAGAATGCAGAACCTTTCTTGATCTTTAGGTTCAGGCTCATAGTTCGATCAGCTGCTATTGTGATACTACATCTGTGTCTCCACGTCAATTTTCTGAATTGCTTGAGGAAGCTAGTGGCAGTCTTGCACAATAGTTGCTGGGCCTTGGATTGAGTGATCTTGGTACTTGTTTGTTTGCAAAGTTCTATGACATGGTTCTCTAATATTAGTCTGATTGCAAAGTTTAGCCTCTCATTTTTTTCCTGGAACACCTTTTGCATTAGATATATTGTGACTGTATTTAAATTAGTTGTTTCTAATATACAGTATGTATTAAGTTTTTTCAGACTTTTCAAAGATTTTTTATAAGCCTTTGCATGGCTTTTGACCATGCTTTGATAATGTTTTCTTCAAGTCCAGGGCATATAAATAAGTGTTCTCTTGTCTTGGGCTCCATGCTATAGACAGACTCTGCAACTTTTGTGTATATTGTAAAGCCAGTGTTTTCTTATTTAGAGTTTGTCTAAAGTCAGCAGTTTGTTATGCAGCAACTTGATCCAAAAGCTTTTCTTTTTGTATTCTTTAAAGGATATGATCAGTCCATTAAGTTTAAGATTGCTCCAGAATTGCTTCCAGGTATAGCTCCTTTGTTAATCAATCTGTTGTTCTAAGAGCTGTCATATTTTTCTGGTTTCTGCCCAGGCCTTTACATTCACTGTTTTGTTAACTTCATTAATAAAGTTTCTTGGGGCTATGTCTATTACCTTGTTGTGCCAGATGATGATGGTTTAAATGTGTTTGCCACTCGATAGGTGTCATGCAATTGTCAATAGTTAAGTTCTTGTTTAGCAAGCTGGTCTGCTTGCTCATTGTACTTTATCAGGAAATTTTTTTGGTGGAGATCTCTGGAGATTTCCACTCAAAAAAAATTTTTGAAAATTTCCGGAGAAATCTTTGAAAATCTTCAAAGATTTTTAAGAATTTTTAATATAGAATTTTTTAAAATAAAAAAACTTTGGAAATTTTTATTTCAAAAAAATTTAAATTT